TTAGATGTTTATGGGAAGGTCTAATGTTGCCATGGTTTAGAGTATTGAAATAGTACTCGACACTTTCTCTTCCAATATCAGTCCACCTTATGTAAACTATGAGTCTCACGTGACTTGGTCTGCCTAGTCTTCAAAGACTTCTCCTACTCATTGTCATGTAATCAATTGATATTGATTTTTATAATGTTGGGATATTACTTGAATCTCTCATCATATTCATCTTTTTTTATCTGGTATTTTGTATGTGTTATCGATATAATTTCATGTTAACGTCTTAATGTCGTTCAAATCGATAGCGGATATTGCAACTTGAACCATCAATATTGGTGGTTCTTATATGTATATTTATCGTATTAAGAGGAAGGAATTGTGTTGGTAAGCGCAATTAAAGTCTAATATAGATGGTAAGATAACTTTTAACGTATCTAATTTCATGGTCAGGGGCGATTTCAGGTAATTTGAGACCTAATACAGTGATTTTAAATTATGCCTTTTATTTTTAGAATAATTTAAAAAATTTAGTTCTTCTTGCTTTTTGAGTTGCAAAAATACTAATTAAGTATTTATCTTCAAGTTTTGTTATTATATCTTTTTTAACACAATTTAAAAAAAAAAAATTCATATCCGAGTGGTTGTCTTCTAGGTGCCATATTATAACTATATTATCAATTAAAATTTTCACAATAATCAAACGAGNCTCAGGAAAATGGTGTTTTTTCAGTTTTCTTCAGAAGAATGACTGTGTGTGGGTGTGCGTTGGTTGGTTTCTTTTCATGTATGTGTAAATCGGTCTTTCGGAACAGGAACTGGAGGTATGGTGGAGATTAAGCAGCAACAGAATGGCCAATTGGTAACAGAACCTGAAATGGCACTACCTCTTGTGACAGTTCCGGCCCCTGAATTTGGAAAAGAAAATGGTGTGATCTGGGCAACCTCACCCGACCGTCTTGAGCTGCCACAGAAACCATTCCACCACTCAAATTGCTCTGACTCCCCATGTGTCTCAGAATCTGGTTCTGACATCTTCAGCAAGCGAGAAGTGATACAAAAGCTGAGACAGCAGTTGAAGAGAAGGGATGATATGATACTAGAGATGCAGGATCAGATTGGCGAATTGCAGAATTCTCTCAGTGCTCAGCTTTCCCATTCTACCCATCAGCAATCGCTGCTGGAAGCAGCAAACAGGGATCTGTTTGATTCGGAGAGAGAGATCCAGAGGCTGAGAAAGGCAATTGCGGATCATTGTGTTGGACAAGTGGGTCCAATTGACAAGACCTCAACATTGTGGCCTTCTGACTGCCAGAATGGTCATGTAAACGGGTGTCTTGAAGTTGAGAGCAATTTGGAGCCTTTGGAAAAGGGAAGAGGAGATGGAGAGAGGATTGGGATGTTGAAAAGGGAAGTTAATGAGTTGAAAGAAGTGATAGAAGGGAAGGAATACCTGCTGCAGAGCTACAAGGAGCAGAAGGCTGAGCTCTCCATGAAGATCAAGGAGTTGCAAAAAAGATTGGATTCTCAGTTTCCAAATATTTTGTAGACATTGGTAGTTTTGTGTATTCTTTTCTGGCTTTCCCTCGTGTTTCTTTTTCTCCCATGTGGCTTGAGGTTCCGAATTTTGGGAAAAGTTTCATGTCATTTTCTTGTTTCTTTCCCCACTATTGTTCAGATACGGTGTTTTGTGCTTTTTCGTGTGCATATATGGAAGAGAAAGTAGGAAGTGATTTTTGGAAAGTTCAAATCAAAGCTCAAAGCTTGCCAACGGAAATACAGTACTTTAGTATGTGGTGAGCTATATCTTGAACAATGAACATATTAAAAGTGCTTGTTATCCAAAGCCATTTTCAATGCGGATGAATTTTTGCATACTTGGTAAGACAAAGATCAGATGATTTTATGTCTATTCCCTTGATGTAAACAAAGAGACAATCCTGCTATGGAAAATACCTTTGTGAAAGGAGCANAATATTTTCAAACGAGTCTATGGGGGGACTAAAATTTCAAATATTAGCACTGTTTTGTAGTATTTTACCATATTGAGTTGTAACCTTGCACATATTTTGTATAAGTTTAGGAAGTCTTCAGTAACGTACCGTAGTCTTGCCCAAAAATTGGGATGCTAATCCTGCATTGGCATTTAGTCTTTCTTTTGGTTTAATGCACAGTTGGCTCTATGAAGAGCAGCCCAGATCGTTCTTGACTGATTGATAGTAAGAGCGAAGCAATGTTTCACTTTTGAGTGTGGTTCAATGAATATGGAGAGGAACTGTTAAAAGAGTCTGCTTGGTTTGTTTCATTAGTGACAATTTGCACCTACATACAGCATTAGTCTTTAATGATGACCGCCTATACCGATGGCCATCGCTTGGTTCAAAAGTCGAAATTCAAACTAACAAATAAACCGGTTTATTATTATGGACGGTTAGCTCGTACCAATGTAAAATGTTAACTTTGTACATTACTGGTACTTGTAACACCTTGCATTAGGGTGATCAACAGGTCTTTGGTCTAATAATACTTTTTACCTTGTAAAAACTGTTTTCTTGAGGTTAAGGGTTCAAGCCCCCTTCCGTCTTTCCCCTCCCCCCCAAAAAAAAAAACATTAGGGTGTCAATATTGTATAATGGCTACTTAGATGTTTATGGGAAGGTCTAATGTTGCCATGGTTTAGAGTATTGAAATAGTACTCGACACTTTCTCTTCCAATATCAGTCCACTTTATGTAAACTATGAGTCTCACGTGACTTGGTCTGCCTAGTCTTCAAAGACTTCTCCTACTCATTGTCATGTAATCAATTGATATTGATTTTTATAATGTTGGGATATTACTTGAATCTCTCATCATATTCATCTTTTTTTATCTGGTATTTTGTGTGTGTTATCGATATAATTTCATGTTAACGTCTTAATGTCGTTCAAATCGATAGCGGATATTGCAACTTGAACCATCAATATTGGTGGTTCTTATATGTATATTTATCGTATTAAGAGGAAGGAATTGTGTTGGTAAGCGCAATTAAAGTCTAATATAGATGGTAAGATAACTTTTAACGTATCTAATTTCATGGTCAGGGGCGATTTCAGGTAATTTGAGACCAAATGCAGTGATTTTAAATTATGCCTTTTATTTTTAGAATAATTTAAAAAATTTAGTTCTTCTTGCTTTTTGAGTTGCAAAAATACTAATTAAGTATTTATCTTCAAGTTTTGTTATTATATCTTTTTTAACACAATTTAAAAAAAAAAAATTCATATCCGAGTGGTTGTCTTCTAGGTGCCATATTATAACTATATTATCAATTAAAATTTTCACAATAATCAAACGAGCAAACAAACAATCTATAGCTAAAACAAATAATACAAGCTTGAAATAAAAAAAAATAAAATCTAAAGTCATTGAATAATAGAATTTTCTGTTTTTTTTTTTTTCCACTTGTAAAGGAAGTACATAGGGATGAGATAAAGAAAGCAACTAAATAAAACAACTAAAGTCTAAATAAACAAAAGGATAAACCAACTAAAGTAAAGGCTAAGTTCAACAGCTTATCGTTACTGTTGGTTGGGTGTTCTAATCTGCCCTTTCTCCTGGAGCGCAATCTTGCTAACTGCTGGTGGGAGTTCTACTGGCAGTAAGGAGCCTTCATGCTTTGCAGTTAATCCCCATTTAGCCAACGCATGAGCTGCTTTGTTAGCTTCCCTGTACGCATGAATCATGCACCATTTAGAATGTTGTGCCAACAGATGTGGTATGTCATTAACAATTGTTTCTATAAACCAAGGGTTTCTACAGTGAGGTTGTGTAGCAGCAAATATCAGAGTCTGTGAGTCTCCTTCCAAAGTGACATAATTCCACCCTCGATTGGGTGCCCAATAAATTGCATCTCTAACTGCCATAGCTTCGGCAATTAATGGGTGTTGTTCTTTTGCAATCTTAATTCTTGCCTCCATTACTTTACCTTGGGCATTCCTGGCTAGTGCTGAAATATACGATTCCTCATTATCTATACCAGCATCCACATTATTTTTATTGTGTCATCCTACAGTTTAGTCCATCCATTCTGGGCATGAATCCTTGCTGCATTCCTTCTTGTTATTGTCCCTTCTTGAGTTCGAGCTTGCTGGTGTTCATTGAAGGCTTTAGAAACCTCTTGTAGCATCACAATCAAATCAAGCTTAGCACCTCTATGACAGATCTTGTTTCTCCAGTTCCAAACAGTTGACATTAGGACAACTGCAAACAGAAGAAGCTGGTTGTAGTGTGGACTGCACGGATCAAAAACGAGTGTTAAATTGAGAATGTTGTGCACTCAGTCTTGCATTTTGAAATGAGAGAGTTTCAGCTCTGAATCCTCATTTATGAGTCTGATTGCACAAGGGACACAATGGATCTTTGATAGGAAATTTGGTAGCCAGTGTGGATTCTGTTGGAAGACATTCCATTGTGGCTCTCCATAGTATCATTTTAAGCCTTGTGTGTATATGTGATTTCCATAGCTTTATCCAATCAGTATTACTGAGATAGCAACTATTTTCTTCCTAAGCAGTTATGTGAATGGAGTAGGCAGATTTAGTAGTCAAATCCCCCGATGTTCAAGGATCCAAGCCATATGGTCTTCTCTAGGATAAATCAACAAATTTATATCAAGAATATCTTGGACTATATTGGGGCAAAAGAGATTTTGGAGAAGTGCAACTTTCTAGCAGTTGGTTATTGGATTAATGAGTTCGGCAACTGTAGTGGGTAGAGGATAGGTGTTCTGATTCAGCAGGGGTTTGAAAAGTGGCTGATTGGAGATCCAGGGATCAGTCCAAATGTTGATTTTGTGGCCCTTTTCAATGATGTAGCATGCTCCTTTCTCTATTATGGACCTGCATTCCATAATGTGCTTCTATAAGGAGGATTCAGTAGGTTGTTTCTCAACTTGAAAGAAAAAGTGCCTAAAGCAATATTTCTTCTCCAATTGGGAAGTCCACAACTTCTGTTTCTGAGAGATCATATACCAACCCAGCTTAGCCATAAGTGCTACATTTGTGCTTTGCATTTTCCTAAACCCTAGACCTTCTACTGCTTTTGGCCTACATATAAAATCTCATGATTTCATACACAATGGCTTTTTGTTTGATGTTTGTACCCACCGGAAGGCTCTGATACTCTTGTCAATGGACTAACAAATGGATCTTGGAAGAAGAAAGGATGGCATGGCATAGGTAGGCAAGGCCAAGGCAGTAGATTTAATCAACGTAGCTCTTCCAGCATAGTACAGGAGTTTAGCTTTCCAACCTTGTAGTTTTTTATCCAACATTTCAATGATTGGCTGAAAGGTCATCTTTATTGATCTCTCCATTATGAATGGGAGGCCAAGATATTGGGCTCCCTTGCTACTCCTTTTAAGATCAAGAATAGCCTTGACAGTCCTGATAGTATGCGTTTTTGCATTAGTACTATAGAAAATTGTGGACTTAACTTTGTTTGATTAGCTGTCCTAACCATTCTTCATAAGTGGTAAGGCACTTCAAGATTGCTTCATCTTCCTCCTTGTTAGCTTTGCCAAATATTAATAGATCATTTGCAAACATCAAATGCGTGAGTGGTTCACAATTCCTTACTGTTTGATACCTTATAGATTACCTGTCATTGCCTCCCTTGCTAATAATATGGAAAGGACCTCAGTGCATATTATGAAAAGGAAGGGAAAGATAGGATCTCCTTGTCTTAGGCCCCTTTGACCCACGAAGTGCCCTATTGGACCTCCGTTAACCAACACTGAGAATGTAGTATTTGAAATGCATTGTTCAATGAATTGGATAAAATGTGGAGGAAATCCTTCTACTGCCAGAATTCTAAGAAGAAATGGCCATTCAATCCTATCAAAGGCTTTAGCCATGTCAATTTTCAAAATAATCAGTGCCCCTTTCCATTTTTTTCTTTTTTAACTGATGGATAATTTCGTGACTAAGAACAGTATTTTCAAAAAAATGTTTCTACCATGTACAAAGGTTGTTTGAGTGGGGACGATGAACTTATCAAGGTATGGGCCTATTCTATTGGCAAGGATCTTGGATATGACTTTATATGGAACATTACATAGGCTGATTGGCCTACAGTGATGGACATTGTTGGGATAAGGAGACTTTAGAATGAGGCAAATGTTGGTTTTATTTAGCTCCCTAAGGATGTGACCTTCTGCAAAAAAACTTCTTACCACATCAATGACGTAATTACCTATCACATGCCATTATGTTTTGTTAAAAAACTGTAGACATACCATCAGATCCAGAACTTTTAAGTGAAGGTAAGGCAAATAAGGTAGCTTTGATTTCCTATGGAGTTGGAATGGAGCGACGGTTGGCATGGTCTTCTAGGTTAACAATGGGAGTAAATAGTTGGTCTAAATCATTTGGGAATTGATGATTGACAGTGGAAAATATTTCCTGAAAATATGATGAAAATACATTACCAATGTCATTCCTCTCTGTGATCCAATTACCTTCTTCTATCTTTAAGCAGTCAATGGATTTCCTTCGCCCTCTAATGACACTGGTAATGTGAAAAAACTTTGTGAAAGCATCACCTTTTTTCAACCACTAGATCCTTGATCTTTGTCTCCATAGGTCCTCTGCTCTCTTCAGTTGTTCAGCTAGCTCAGATGAGAGAATCTTCTCCTCCAACATAATATCTAGGGTTGGATCTAGTTGCTGCAAAGTCTCTATTCGAGCTCTGATGTCTTTAGCCTTCTGGATACAATTCCCAAATTTTTCTTTGTTCCATGCCTTTAAGCTCTCTTTGATTGCTTGTAGCTTCCTGTACAATTTGAATGCTAGTGAGCGTATCACTGTTTTCCAGGAATTCTTGGCTACAATAAATGAACACACATTAACACAACTAACATCATAACACAAACTGTTTATAAAACTATTAACTATACGAAAGTTAGTAAAAACATTAAATTTACATGAAAAACTCAAAGTGATAGGTCAGAAACAACAAGAACAATTACATACAAAATCCCAAACATAAATTAACATCACAAAATTAACAAGTAAAACATAAGACAAACTGGAACAAAGAAGGACCGAACCATAAATATTTAACTAAAATAAAAACATATATGCTAATTTCGACAAACGAAACTAAATCATGGGGAAAAAACATAGTAACAACAACAAACAAGCGATCACATTAAAAATTGAGTATGTTTGTTTGAAAAATTGTAAGTGGGGAGTTAAAAGAGGTTGACATACGTGTCTATGTCAAGTGTAATCGAAAGGGGTGAGTAGGATAAGTGGATGGAATAGAAGGAATTGGAGCAGCCTGTTTATCGAAGGGACAAACCAGTTGGGCAAAGGGTAGGTGAAAAATGCTCTCACCAGCCAGAAAAATCATCCGCTACAGTGGGTAAGTAATGTGGGTATTTATAGCACAGTGCTCGGGCAGGTTGGACTGCCCAAAAGGCTGCCTGCCGCAACCCCTTACCACTCGCTCTAACCTACAATTGCCTCGACCGCGACGATACCAATGGCCATTAACGGCAAGCCATGCATCCCAACATTAACTAGACAGATATGATATTTTCTCAAATGCAACCTGGACGTGGCCCAGAGGAAGGTGTGACAGCCAAGGTGAGAGAAGGCTCCCAAGATCCATGATCGCAACTGGTCATCGTGGGACCATGACCTCAAGAGGACCATGGCCCCGAGAGGACTATGCCCGCGATACCCCCAACGCACTCCAACCTGGGGTCTTTTTTCTTCCTCTCTAGACCCTTCCTCCAGACTTTTGTTGAGATACCCAATAGAGGAAACCCACATAATTTTAATCCTTCAGCCACCAATCCACATGTCTCATCATCCCACATGCTGATCCGGACGAATAACCCCAGTTACCTTAGGAGTCTCTCTGGATCCCAGTCAAGCACATCCTAGCGGGTAATGAGCCATACACTAGGAGGCCTACTTGAGCAGATTAAACCTTCAAGACCTTGCCCCAGGCCGAGGTTGACAATCGTGCTCGTCCATCCCCATTGCTCAGTTCTCCCTTGAGGAGGGTTGTACTTCTGTGTCCCTAGGTGGGGACATCTCCTCTTAAACTAGTGGGCAAGTCGAGCGACGACATTCAATAGGTTGAAGATACCATTCCCGCAGCAGGGGAGGCAAGTCTTGCTGAGGTTGCCCCCACACTTCTACGATACCATTCCCGCAAAGGGGTGTCGCGCCCAGGTTGACCCATATTTATGCGATTCCACTTTTGTCCACCTTGGTAAAGGGTCTACTTTTCCACTTCCAATGCAATTGAGATGTATGTCGTCCTGTTGCGATGTTGTGCCTGATAGCGTCACGCCAGGGGGTGTCGCGTCCAGGGGCATCACTCCAATGGGGTGTCGCGCCAAGGGATGCCATACTTGTTATTGTTATCTATACCAATCCAATTGAACTCTGTCGGGACCCCTTTCTATGTCAATTGATAATCATTACCACTTGTCCTGTTATAGCGGAGACACGTGCTTTGAATATTTTCGAGTACTACATTTGTCCCCTGCGCGTGCCAGATCGAAGGAAGCGTCCTGCGCGCGCACACCATTTTCGATCCGCACTTGTCATTTGACTACAACTATCTGGCCATGGTACTGATGACTAAAATTTTTTGTAAAATTGGCCAAGACTTCTGCCGTCATTTCTCTATTGCCAAAAAAAAAAAAAAATTGTCGTGGTTAGTTGCCCCTACATGCATGGACCTTCTTTTGACAGACTTTGCATGCATAATGATCGTGAGGACTTATGTATTTTTTTCCTTGTGCAATTTTTTGAGGTGCATCTCTATATCCTTATACCACTGCGGATAGGAAACCTTGACTACTATTGAGCCCCAAAAATCGCCAATAAAATGACCCATTATTGCCCTCGAAAATCTTGACCTTCGACCGTCTCAAAAATCATAGTGAATCAGTACCTCAAAAAGAACCTCAACCATCAGCCACTGTGAATATACCGATGTTGAAGTCCTTTCCCCAACTCCTTGCCAAAATACTATAATATCTTCATAAAATGTTGGGCCACCACTCATTTGATATAAGTATATATACATCCATGTCTTTCAAATTGAACATGTGGACACATATTCTACTAAATCCCCATTTTCCTTATTTTCATAACTTCTTCAAAGAGTGCACCATTTGTTTTCAAAGTGGTGGACCCACTTTTTAGACCTCATGAGTTTTTACGTAACAAAGTTTCAAGAAACACACTTCAACTTCTAAAGTGGTAGACCCCACCATTATTTGTAACCTTCACTCTTTAAATAAAAATGTGGGCCCCCACCAATAACTCATCTTTTCCATACCTTTTTACCACTACTAGCTTCACTCATATATTTTTTTTTTCAAAAATGACGTGTTGCACCTTTTTTTTTATTTTTTNTTTTTACCACTACTAGCTTCACTCATATATTTTTTTTTTCAAAAATGACATGTTGCACCTTTTTTTTTATTTTTTTTCTCCATTTGATTTTTTTTTCTTAAACTCCTTGGGCCCACACATCACTGTATGTTTCTCCATTTTCTTTTGTTTAACCGGTCCTTCCTTGCTTCACACATTTACTATAGGAGCTCGATAGGACCCACCATGCTAGAAGAAATTATGGTAGTTCTTTGGTTTTTTTTTCTTTGACTATTCCTCTTTCATTGGCACTGAACTGGCGCTTGAAAAGGACAGTTGTGAAGGGATGGCCGGTGCAGTCAAGCTTTAATGTTATTGCTTTTACATGCTGAATATTTGGTTTGTTTCTGACATAGACGAGCCCTATCACTGTTGCACATCTGAGAGTCTCTCTTTACCAAAGGAGTAAATGACGGATGGCTGACTGGACATGGCAGACCGTTGCCCATCTGATGGTCGACTACAGGCTGCTGATGGTGAAGAGGCAGAGGTGGACCTCACATAGCGTAGAGATCTTCACATTTTGAAATAATGATTAACCCAACTTTATCTGCTGACCTTGACTTGTTGAATGTACAGCTTAACACAACTGTGTCCAAGCCCGTCCATATACTCTTACCTATAAATTAAAGTCTTCACTCATTTTTGCACTTCTTTTAAACGTGAATCCTTCCTTCCTTCTCCCTTCTCCAAAGTGTCTCCACTCTTTTTTTTTCAAATGTCATAGCCTTACACCCCTTCTTTTTCTTTAGACTTTTATCATGATTTTCGCTTCCTAGTATATATTTGCCTCCACCCTACCTCTTCCTTTTTGCGAAGTATCTAGCCCCACACACATATGTATATATATACCTTTTTTGAATGACTTTCCTTACACCATTTTTCATTCCGCACACCACTCTTGTATATATAATTTTTCGTTCTCCTGGCTAATCATCGTCATATTCGCGCAAGCCCAGTGCCTTCGTCTGAGGAGTGGTATTGCGCCCCTTTTCTCGGTGGTGATGTTGATCCATTTTACGAGTACCTCCATAGCTATGTGTCTAAGGGGGAGGAGCTGACTCATCCATTATTTTTGGATCCCCCTGCGCATCTTTATAGGGCCCCTTGTATCCATCCTAAGTTTGTGTTTTGGATGCCATTGGAGAGGGGAGACTACCCTTATTCTTTTATTAACTTTGAAACCTCATCTAATCCTTCTACCCGCTGGTGCAAGTGGTCTGACCACATTCTTGCAGATGGGGCATTTCGCGAAACTTTGGAATTTGTCGGTATTATTTCTGCTATACAGTTGTGTCATAAGATTAGCGTCAACCGACGTAATGCTAGTCTATTTTCTTTGATTTCTTGTTGGTGCCATGAGACTCATACTTTCGTCACCGTTTAGGGTGACTTTACCCCCACTTTGGAGGATGTCTTGATGTTGATGCGATTGCCCATTTTTAGAGATTCTATTTATCCCTCCAGAGATTCTACTTCTGCCAAGGAGGCTGCAATATCTTACTTATCAGAATGTTTTACCGATGTTGCAAGACTTCCTTCATCTTTTGGTGTTGGAAGTGGCGCCGACAGGCACAAGTGTACCTACACATCTTGGGTGAGGTTCTTTTTTAGGGACATCGAGCTTGCAAAAAGCAAAGGTTATGAGCGTGTTGGCCAAGATGGCTCTGAATCTTGGAGTGAGCATGTCTTGGCTGCCTTTATCGCAATGTCGTTGACGCGATACGTTACATTGGAGTCCCCTTCTGATGGTATCAGCACTAGCGTTTTTCCCTTGGCTTCTAGGTTGGCTCGCGGCTGCGCCATCCCTTTGGCTCCTTTATTTCTCGGGAACCTGTACCTTCACCTTGATGAATTGCAAGAGGTGACTGCTATTTCGATGGGGCGTTATGACATTAGTAGCTATGTCTCTACCCTCTTCTTACAGCTCTTCCTACATGAACTTTTCCCGGCATCTGCCTCTAAGACCAAATGACCTACTAATAGTAGTCCTTCTCCCTGGGGGCTATGGTGGTCTGAATGCCCCATATCTAGGTCGGTGGGCCCCCTTCTCGATGATGAGCCACATTTTATCTTCTGCCCTTACGCGGTTTATCACCCCATGGTTGAGTCACCTTCCTATTATCGCGCCAAGCTCGTATTTATTATTGTTGATGCCATTGAAATCGTGGCTGACTGCTATTTTGATTTTATTGCTTACTCTACCA